GTATGGTTCCATTGGTTTCCTTGTGAAATTTTCTTCTAGTTGCACCCCTTAAAGTCCACAATGTAACGAAATAAACATGAAAATTTGGAGTTTTAGTCAAAAATTTCATGTCCAACCTCTCTAATTGACTCGATCCGCAGTGCGCAGCCCCGATATTACGTAACGCTTAACGGACACTGAGATCATGGTGCACTCTGATTCCTCGTTTGTGAATTGAATTTTAAATTTTTTTAAATATCATCGACTGTAACGTGAACTTATTGTAAAAATATTATTCGGCTTCAGAGCATTTCGTTGTAGCCCTGAGAGTTTTTAATCGTTTTTTCTGGTAAATATTTTGATCGATGCAAAACACAACAATTTACTTATCTAGTCGAATCCGTACATCAACTATTATGGAAGCCACTGTGGCTAGCCTCTAATACTAAAGCTAGATTACAAGTTAGCAGCATCAGTGGAACACGCTTTGCTGTCAAATTTAAATGAAATTTCAAATTTTCTTATGCTTTGAAATTGTTGTAAGTATATATTATTAGTGATCTTAAGATGGAACGTCTAAGAATATCTTCGAAATATAATTATATCCATACTACTCCGATCATTTTTAGTACAAATGAGCACTATATTCCATTGTCAATTGATCAAATTTTGATATCTGAATTGGACAATATTGAGGAAAATACTTAGGGTTGACACATTTTACAGTGCATCATTGGACCAGACATTTTTTATGAAAACAAAAATGATCATGAGATAAATGCCTTCTTATTTTGGGCTGCATTTCATTAAGATTGGAATGATATGCTCTAATGATAAATGATAAAATGGGGGAGGGGGAATTATGGGCTGTATGCTGCTTAGCATTAAGAGTACATTTTAAACATAACCATTTTGAAATCGACGTAGTTAAGTTTTTAACTCTCCCTGCACCGAATATAATACTTTTATCATCAAGTGGATCTACATAACGATGACGAATGTGCCAAACCTTGTATCTTCGTATGCAACAGTGCAAAATTCCTGTCATACTCTATTTTTTCTTTGAAAACGAGTAAATATAATTTCTAAAAAACTTCCTTGATTTGTTTTTATTGGTAGGTTATACTCTGTAGAAATCTCTGGCTATTGTTACTAGCTTTATTTCTCTTCGAAGAATTTAGAAGCGGGAATCTAGAAACACCGAAATGGATATGCGTTTACGGGACTTTATAGCCATTGATATAATTAAATTATAGTTTTTAAACACGATCATGAAGTCTCAAGATAAGCGTAGTGTTCAAGATTAGGAAAGAAATAATAAAACACGCTGGAAAAAAGCCTCTTGGATCTCACTGAAAAAAAAAAAGTGGCATTGATTTAACATTCTGGATGTAAAAAGAGTGTGCGAGAACTCACAAAATGTCAAATTACCCATCGCGCGCACGGCAGTTAGTTCTACATCTTGACATTGCTAAAGTAACTGATATGGTAGTTAATTCAGTATCTTGTAAGTTCTCGCTCAATTTTTTTTACATCCAGAGTGTTCAATCAACTTCACTTTTTTTCAGTGGAATCTAGACTCTTGAAAAAATTGACAAGAAAAAATACTCTTGATTCGATCGGATTTTTATTTAAATCAAAAGGAAAACCTTTTAACTTAAGTTAAGAGGATTTCCCCTTAAGAGGCTTGCCTCACAATTCAAGCAAAAATCCGAATGGTTCAAGAGCATTTTACCTCGGAAATTTTTTTAAGAGTCTGGACCTCGATCTAAGAGACTCCCCCTCCCCCCCCCCNCCCAGTGTATACGTTTTTGTAAAAAATAATACGATGATGTGCATAATGCCTGTATATACTGGCAACCACGAATACCACGCAGTGAGACGAGATTCGGAAATTAAGTTAGGAGGAGACGTTTAATTCCGATCACCCCTCCTCAATTTGAACTGATTAGTCAGTTGAAATGGTTTCCCGTAGCCGCGGAGACTTGAAATAGCTTAATTAAGAACTCTACTTCTCCTGGAGTAACGGTGCTTCCGGCCTGGCTTCGAACACCTGAAATTTATTCGTCGAATTTATGAAGCTTTTATACGCTCATCTGCGCACATGTTTGTTTTTTATGCTCTGAAGTGTGTGACGTAATTATTTTGCTTCTGGATTTTTTTTCGAAGTTCGGTTGAAGATGGCTCTCCATATCTTGTCACTGAATGCGATCCTATTATATTGCTGTATTAAGGAATGACGCTGTATGAGCATTTAGACCTCGCCAGATTTTTCTCACTTAAGAGCGAATTTACTGGGAAATTTTTAAATATTTTTATCCCAATTTTTCAGACAAGTTTACTTGTGATTTGATCTATTATACCAAAAAATATCAAGGAAAAAAAATACTTTCCTCAAAAATATCGCCCGAGGGTGGAAAAGGGGTGGGGAGGGGAGATAAGGGGGGTGGAGGGGATAGTTAAGAAAGTTTACCCATTGAATACCTCTAGAAGTATTAATGTGAGGGGGAAAAAACAGACCGAACAACAGGCTGCGGGCTAAAGTGAAGGACTTTTACGATACGTCATTACACCGTTTTCAAAAATGCAAGGATCGGGTAGGTGGCTACGTCGAGAAGTAAGGTAAAAAGTCTTCAATCATTTTCACAACTTTCGTACCAAAAGAATAAATTGATTTTACTTCCTCGCGGACTTATACTCACGTTTTCTCTTAAACCCTACAGAGTGGTAAAAGTGGAAACGTTTGGACATGAGGTGGGTATGGAAAATCTGTCATTACTTCGCACGACGTGTACCAATTTTTTTTTAAAAAAAATCATAGCTTGTTAAAAATCTGATCATATGATCGTTTTAAAGCCGGTCTGGTTTTCTCCATAACATCAATACTTTTAGAGATATTCAATGAGTAAACTTACTTAAAAATCCACCGTCGTATTATGGAATCACTCGATAGTATGATTGCTTAAGGTTCATCGATATAAATGTTCATTTCGTCGGAAGACTAGCAACCTTGTTTTAAAATGTGATGCCCTTGCCCCATTCTAAACTTACTCGTGCACGTATGACATTCCAACTCATAATTAAGAGGTTATCAGCGCATAAGCTTCGTCCCCAATAAGCTCAGCGCCCATGGGGTAGCTGAGGGAATATGGAGTCCCTACCTTTTTCTAACTCACATTTGCGTGGAATTCCCCGCCAAGCGGTTTGTGGAAAGGCAATTAATAATTATGTTGCTATGCGATTTGAGCGTGCATGATAAGGGTTACCCGTGGAGGATATGGAATTCAATTTTTCAATAAAAATGACGGATCGCGGTGAAAAGCTCGGCCAATCAAGCCGCGCTGTAGCATTGAGCCGTCGTGATGTCCTGAAAGGTTAGATCCATATCTACGCGGACTCGCTCGTAAAAACAAACAGCCAGTGGGTGAATATTGTAGCTGGGACGGGGAGAAGGGAGACTGAATGTGCAACAACTGAACTTACTATTATTTCTATTTTCATTTCCCCCTATATCATGTCTGATTCCGTTTTTTTCTTTCTCTCTATTTTTTTGTTTTGTTTTGTCATTTAGAGCTAAATCAAAATAGCTCTTCAGAAGAAGAGGGTAGGTAAACCAGGCACTTCTTCGAAACTCGCATGGCTCAGACATGCCCAACTGCAGTAAAATTACCGATTTTTGTGTTGTCAAGAACAAAAGTATGTTAATGTCTCTAGGCTTTAGGCCTCAGGGCGTCAACTTTATATCCATGGTTATGGTGCGAAACCACGTATCTCCATGCATACTTACTTCCTGTCATACTTTCGGAAAATTAGTCAACTTAATTTCTTGGAATCCCTTTTGATTTTTTTTCACTCTGTAAGCAGAATATTTTGTATGAATTTCAAGCTATTAAGTTGGCTAGTTTTTAAGGTGAATGCAGGGTCCGATTAGGGATGATTCAAGATTAGAGATAGCGCCACCAGTCACCACTGAGAATTTCACTTTCCATCGACGATTACTGAAATAATATTCCTCGAATTACAAAAAGCAGATCCACAAGATATAGATTAATTTTTGCTTGATTTTTTGAGCCAAAAATATTGGCTATTAGAATTACAGGCGCAGAGAAAGTAAAGCTGAAACTTTCAGGTCAGAGGCGGCGGCCGAGCGCGCAACGGAATCCCTCATGTTCTGTCTCTCTATTTCCCATTGCCGCAATGGGAATTACTTTCCGCCGTAAGACTTTATTTTTGGGAATTTGGAGAAGAATTTTTTACTGAGTGTTCCTCAAGTATGTTGCCATAACCCCTGGATCTCCAATCTTGAATAAGTATTACGGTTTTTATTATTTTGGCAAAAATATGCGGCTATTCTGAGCAGCGCGACGTGATGGCCAAATCGCGAAGTTCCGAGCCTGGATTTACATTAAAAAAATGGAATTAAGACGGAAATTTTGAATCATCCTAATGGATGTACGTGCGGTTTTGCGCTGTACCCATCTATACGGCGTTTATAATCTGCGGGTATACGTATGTACACGAACTACAGCCACTTTGGTTTTCCCACAAATTGAAGTGGGACAATCCCCCATGTTAAGTCGACGTTTCACCAGTTCATTAATACTCTGAGTCGCTTTAAAGAGGGTTTTCACAACTAAGAAATAAAAATACTTCTTGTCTAGATATAATTATATTGTTTATAATCCGATTAATGTAGCACTAAAGCCTACCGAAAATGTTTGTCGTTCCGCCGCATATAAATCAAACCGTCCACAACGCAAATTGCTGATTTTCAGTTTGCGCGCAATCAGAGTACTTCCCGCATATTTGAAAAAAGGCGCGTCAACTTGTATATTTTACCGCGCGCGGCGCGGAATTGGCGGGAACCAATGAGAGAGGTGCCGCTGCCGGGGGGAAAACGAAAATATAAACATAACCTTATTACACCACAAACTCGCGAACAATCACATATATTTAATTTTCTTCTAGAATTTCTACATAATTTTTCACCAGCTGTGCCAGTTTTTTTAATTTGTGCAGAGATGAGTGAGTTCACTGTGAGTGTAAGAAATTTTTATGGTGACAATAATTACAAGGCTAATATTTTCGACGTGAAGTGCGATGAACACTCAATTGTTTGTGAGCTACCTCCAAATTTAACAAGGATTCTAGGACCTTCAAACGTATGGAAAATATTCAAGAAGCAGTCAGAACTTCTCGAGTACTTGTCATTTAAAGCTCGCAACTTGAACTTGATGCCATTTGTTTTCCAAAGTATTAACAATGAACGCTTATTCCTCGCTGCGCATCCCCTGGTGTTTTGGTACTATGACAGTCACCGTAAGACCAATCAAAGACACTCCTACGAAATCATCCGAGAAAATCACCCTTGTAAGTTGTACTTTGATTTAGAGTTCTGTGTCAACTCCAATCCTGCTCATAATGGAGACAGGATGGTCAGCACCTTTCTGAAAATTGTCATTTTTATGATAAAGGTCCCATGCAGTTTTAACGATGTCCTGGATCTTGATTCAAGTACCAGCTCAAAATTTAGTCATCATTTAATATTTCAATTGCCTAACCATGTTTTTCAGACAAATTACCATGCGGGGTACTTTGTGGAAAAAGTTTGTCATGAAATATTAGCCAACATCCATGGCGAAGATATGAAAGTAGATCTTAAGTGTGAATGTAATGTTTCTAAAGAAGAGTTGTCAGAATTACTGGTTAAAGATGCAAAAGGGAACTCAGTTTTATTTTGTGATAGGTCTGTTTATTCCAAAAATCGCCATTTTCGCCTTTACAAATCTAGCAAACTGGGTAAAGAAACGCCTTTAGAGGTGAGTGCAAACAACAAGTTTTGTGTCAACAATTCTGTAGAAAATATATCTGATGAGCAAATATTTTTAGCATCTCTCATCACGTATTTTCCAGATGAACATTTTCTCTCAAATTGTGATATTATTAGTTTTGACCTTGCCGGTCCGACTTCTTCTCGCCCAAAAAATTGTTCCAACTATTCCAGTCAGGCCAGTGTAAAATCAGTCTCTGCATTTCCAAAAGTTGACAAATTCGTTCAAGATTTGGTTGCACCCGGCAAAATATGGCGAGTCCTTTCATTTGATGAGAACAAAACCCTTGTCTATGACATAGTCGCTAATAGATTTTGTCAAAATATTGGTCGTGCTCACAAAAGCAATAATATCATGATAGTTGTTGACACTGGTAAGTGTATTTACTACCAAAAGTGCCATGATCATGATTGCAAAGGGTTCCGGTCTGAGGAAAAACAACTACCTTTTGAGATTAGTTTCTATTTGCGTCCTGATAGTGAGCTAGTGAGGAGCACAGAGGATGATTTACAGTTGTTGGAGGATGACGCTTTTTTGTCTGAAGACTGCTTACAAATCAGTCAGGAGCCAAAAGTACTCTCTAGGGTCACTGAGAATCCTCAGCCAAGTGTGCAGGAACCTAAGTGCTCAGAAACAGATTCCAACAAAGTAGACCTCTCTGAGAGCAAAGCTCTCTGCACAGGAAATGGAGCGGAACCTAAAACAAACAATAGTACCTCTGAAGGTGTGCTTAGTTGCAATAAAAGTTCTGGGTCTCAATTTCCTGATGAGGAAATGGAGTATGCGGTTTGTCAAATTTTAGACATTATTGAGGACGAATCATTTGCAAATGAGAATTCAAATTTTTAGCATAATATTTTTAAAATATCCATACTTCCATATGCCATTCATTCTATTATTTGAGCACTAGCAGCTGCTGAATTTCAGCATGCCCTCGGAAATTGTTAAAGCTCAGAAAAAACAGTGAGGAGCACGGTGAGATGAATATAATCCCTTCTTTTCCTTTATTATCATGTGGGAATCTTAGGGTAAATGCCACTGAATTACTAAAAACAATTCACTGCAAATTACCGAAAAATCTTTTATATTCTATTTTTAGCCATGTTGTTTTTTTCCTCCCTCCTGAATTAATATTGCATGCTCAATCTTTTATGCATCTCTTTTTAAACGTCAATAAGTTTTACTCACAATGTTAAAAACCCTTCATTAATGTTTGAAATCTCCATTGTATGTTGTAAGGAGCTTCCATACGCAGTTTAGACAATTTCTTTATCATGTGTTGAAGAATTTAAATCCCCTCAATTTCCGAGCATTCAAATTTTAGGCCTTGATTACTTTGCTTTATAAAGAATATAATTCTCATCGCCAGATTATTTTCCTTCCTTCTCTCTTTTTAGCTTTAAGATTTTTAACTTATTTCAGGAAACCTAAAGTTTTGAATTTTGGTTTGTAATTTTTCTGACTCAAGGATATCACAATCAGTTAAATTTATCAATCTAAGCTCCAGTCTTTATAAAATTTCACTTCCAACAGTAATTTTTAAGTCTGTTGAATGCCCCATTAAAACTCTTATTTTACCTCTCCACTCCTCTTGTTGTTATTTTCTGCAAGAGAAAGAAAACAAAATAAAGTATTTATAATTTTGTTAAACCATCGTTTGTGTTTTTAATTTTTTAACTTGATACTGATACATACACGTAAGCTGTGGTATTCTTTAAAATTACCTACGTATAAAGAAAATTGTTGATTAATTAATTTTTTTTTCTTTAAATTTACCTACAGAGGAACAAACTTCATAGTCTTTTTTTCGATTTTAACAAACAATACCTATATAATTCTAAAAATCCAGGGATAATACTTTTCCTTTTACTTAATCAACAGTTTTTTTTACAGATTTTCCCAATAAATTTATTAGTGGATGAAGTAGAAAAATGCAATATTATGCTTTCCTTCAAAAAATATAGGCACCACCTAGTAAATAAGTCTCTAAGGTTTTGATGATCAGAACTTCCGACTACATTTTATTCCAGAACTAAAAAACTAACTATTTTATTCTGTAAAATTTTAGATGATTTGAATGCAACCATTTTCAACTTATTGTTAATTGTTGCTCTATTTACTTATTTGCTCATTACCCTCTTAAAACTTCTTATGGGTTGGTTTTCTTCAAAAAAAAAAAAAAAAAAAAAAAAAAAAAAACAGGATTTGGAAACACCCAACTTAGAAACATATTTTTCTAGTTTCTCTGTAAACAAAGGTTTCCCTTACTAAGGGTACTGGAGAGAAATACCTCGGTTGAAAAGATCAAATATTAAAGTTGCAACCTGATGGTAAAGTGTAACTCTTAAGTATACCTACCCAGAGGCCAATTGATTTATTTGGTCCGGCTGTTGTTCAATTTTGTACTAATACATCGTTAACCATGTTTGCGCTCCAATTAATTGGATGACAAATCTTTTGGATGACAAATCTTGAAATAGCTAAACAATATTCATTCAATATTTATCGAGGTTGGTTTTTTTGATTGCTCTCGTGATTATTATGAAGCACTTGTGGTGAAAAATAAACAATAAATTAATGCTCCTCATAATAGGGGTTTGATTGACCAAACAAAGCAACAGTTGAAGGAGGAGGGGGCTGCTCTTAAGAAGAATTTAGTAACATCTGCTGAAATATACACACTGCCTTACCCTAGGAGCAGGATATTTAAGGAATGAGTATAACTGACAAATATTATTAATTTTTTCAGTGTAATTAGTATAAACATTGTTCAGAAAATCCTGTTTTTGGGTTTGTCGTTGGATTAAAAGTAGTAAAGAGAAAATACCAACCAACTCAGCTTTATTTTTTTAATGGTACCTACTTTGGAATTTTTAAACATCTGTCACAAGACTGGCAGTTTCAGCTCCTAAAATCCCCCCCCCCTCCAATCACCAATATTCAGCACCCACTGTACAAGTCTTATTCGATTGAGTATGGCATTAGTTTGTGATGCTTACTATCCAAAATTTAATTTCAAGTTTATTTGCAACCAACTTTATATACCAACATGCTGGGATTTTTCTTCTTTTTTTTAAATTTTCAAGTGATTTTTTGAACACTTTCATTAGTTTCATTAAACATTTTAAATCATCTCATGCAAGCCCAAATGACACAGAAACTCCTGAAAACACATCCTCTAGCAGCTTCTGCATCAGCTTTAAGTAGGTAAGTACTGGAAAACTTGAGCTCAAAAGTAATCCTAGCCCATAATTGGTACTATATAATAATGCGAACGCTGATGTCATTCGATATTAATATTATTAAATTATCAACAACACTTATTTCAAGTTTCCCGCGAGTTTTTTTTTGCAGGTTTGCAAACCTGAAACGCATTGTGAACTACTTAGGAAAGAAAAAATTCGGAACAGCCAATAAACCAGCAATAAAAAAAAAAAAAAAAAATTTTTAGGTTAATTTACTTTGTTTATGATTGCCTTGCAGCTTTCCTCGACTTTCAGCTTTTCGCAATTTTTGATCTCGGCTTTGGTTGTGTCATCATTTTTCAGACGTGGCATTTTAGTTTAAGCTTTATTTATTCATGAGATGTGATTCTGTATCCATTTTATTATCTCGAAGTACACCATTGAGTAATTTATACATAGAGAACTCAACCTTACCTCTTTGTAGAGCACTGAAACTCTCCATAGGAGGTAAGTTAGTCACTCGAATTGAATTAGATCGTCTTACGTTTACAAAGTTAAATATTTCGTCCTTCTTTAGGGCCTTAAGCTAGTCCAATCACTGACTTCAGGAGGAGACCGCATGTTCGTCATTATCTCTCCGCCCATTCACATTGAGAGTTAATGCTACCTTGAAGCCATGTCTGACAATTTTAATGTTTGTGTCAGCAAGTGATATTGCTGAAATATTTGAGCTGTCCGACTGCTCGCTTATCGGATTGAAATGATAAACCACCAGAACATCCATTTTAGTGTGTAAATTGGGTGTCAACGTTTCTTCATTACCACATGCAATACACATGGCAAAGACTTCTCAATATGATTTAGTGTTCGATTTTTCAACGAGCTGTATCCTTAACATAATTGATGGGTCATTATCAACCCAAAGTAGGTACTACCGCAAATGTCTGGTCAAAGTACTCCCAAAAATTCTGAATGTCACTAGCTGAAGCTACAAACAATACCTACACTGAATAAGTATGTGACAATCTACAAATTTAATCCTACCGGTAGATAGGCCGTCTGGTGTTACGGCCATCGGTTGCCTACGAGAATCGAGAGGCTGTAACTACGATTCTGTGACGTCACCCTAGTAGATGAAACTCGGCTGCGATTTAGCATGTGTTCTTATGGGAGAACGCATGACACATGTTTCTTTTGTGCCAATATCTTTTCACAGGTTGGTCCAATGCAAAACTTCATAAAAACCTTTTTCAAAGAAGATAATATTGCACATCAGGAAACTGCCTAGTTCATGAATTACATTGTCTGATAATTGAGGAAGTTAAAGCTAAACACAACAAAATACCGAAAATTGTTTTGGCTCTGATTGGTTAACACGGCGATTACTCTACTAGTTTGACGTCACAAAACCGAGTAGTTGCGGCCTCTCCATTCTTGTAGGCAACGGACCACCATGTTGGATTGATGACAAGATTTGGCAGAGTAAATGAATGGGAGCTCATAACGCCCCTTTCTTGCTGCCGTCTCAATTTTTACAACAGTAGAGAGTGATTTCAGTTATTTCATTACCAAAAATTTCATTCAATTTGTCCTGGTAAAGCTTATTGAAGCTGGTGTGCCATCATGTATACCCTCTTATTTTACCATGCCAAGGAAAAGGATGTTACTTAGAGCATTTTAGTGTCACCGAGCTCCCCCAAATAAATTCAAACTTGCC